TTAAAATATTATTAATTAAGATGTTAATATAAGTATGTAAGTAATATAATTAAATTAGGATATAGATTAAGATGTAGATTAAGATGTAAATTAAGTTGTAAATTAAGTTGTAAATTAAGATGTAAATTAAGATGTAAATTAGGATGTAAATTAAGATGTAAATTAGGACGTAAATTAGGATGTAAATTAGTATTAAAATTTAGATTTATCTTAGAGATTAAGTTATGGTATTAGCTCTTAAGATATTATAGATAAATATGATGATTACTAATAAGATGTAAATAAGATGTAAATTAGGTATTAGTAATATTAAGATGTAGATGTTAGGCTCTTAATTAAGATAGTTTAAGAAAGTTATAAAATACATCCTAATACGCTTCTTTGTTTCAGTGTTCGTCGCTCCGTTGGCATCCCGGCTAGATCTCACACAGGATCGTCGTCAATCAGGTAAGGTAAAAGAGAGTCATAGTTACTCCCACCGTTTACCCGCGCTTGCTTGAATTTCTTCACGTTGACATTCAGAGCACTGGGCAGAAATCACATTGCGTCAACACCCGCTGGGGCCATCGCAATGCTTTGTTTTAATTAGACAGTCGGATTCCCCCGGTCCGTGCCAGTTCTGAGCTGACCGTTGAATGGCGGCCGAAGAGGATAATCAGCTTTCCATCTGATGTAGTTAGCGTTAATATAATCAGAACCTGGCCAAGGCCAAGGCACGGGACCGGGCTCGGATCCGACGTCGCCGCCGAAACGGCAACGCTTCACCTCGCCCAGGCCCGGCACGTCAGCCGCGACCCGCTTCATCGACAAGCCCGACCCACCCCGATCCTCAGAGCCAATCCTTATCCCGAAGTTACGGATCCAATTTGCCGACTTCCCTTACCTACATTATTCTATCGACTAGAGGCTCTTCACCTTGGAGACCTGCTGCGGATATGGGTACGAACCGGCGCGACGCCTCCACGTGGCCCTCTCCCGGATTTTCAAGGTCCGAGGGGAAGATCCGGACACCGCCGCAACTGCGGTGCTCTTCGCGTTCCAAACCATATCTCCCTGCTAGAGGATTCCATGGAAGTCGAACGCTCATGCAGAAAAGAAAACTCTTCCCGGATCTCCCGACGGCGTCTCCGGGTCCTTTTGGGTTGCCCCGACGAACTCTCTTGCGAGGGCCCAAATTATAAGCGGTTCCGCTGCCGGGTTCCGGAATAGGAACCGGATTCCCTTTCGCCCAACGGGTGTGTGCACAATCCGTACGTTCACGTCACCACGGCTCTGGAGGTCGTGTTTGTGACCAACGACAAATCTACACCACATCGACATCGGCTTTCGCCTAGGGCTTAAGATCGACTGACTCGTGTGCAACGGCTGTTCACACGAAACCCTTCTCCACGTCGGTCCTCCAGGGCCTCGCTGGAGTATTTGCTACTACCACCAAGATCTGCACCGACGGCGGCTCCAAACGGCCTCACGGCCAGTCCTTCTGCGCTCACCGCCGCGACCCTCCTACTCGTCAGGGCTTCATGGCCCGTGACCAGAGGCCACCGGACCGCACATGCCGCTGACGGCCGAGTATAAGCACGACGCTTCAGCGCCATCCATTTTCAGGGCTAGTAACTTCGGCAGGTGAGTTGTTACACACTCCTTGGCGGATTCCGACTTCCATGGCCACCGTCCTGATGTCTTAAGTTACCAACGCCTTTCATGGTATCCCATAAGCGTCGATTTAGGCGCTTTAACTCGGCGTTTGGTTCATCCCACAGCGCCAGTTCTGCTTACCAAAAATGGCCCACTTGGCACTCTGATTCGAGTCTCGCGGCTTCAATAGTTCGAGCAAGCCGGAGATCTCACCCATTTAAAGTTTGAGAATAGGTTGAGGCCGTTTCGACCCCAATGCCTCTATTCATTCGCTTTACCGGATGAAACTCGTGCGCTATGAGCGCCAGCTATCCTGAGGGAAACTTCGGAGGGAACCAGCTACTAGATGGTTCGATTAGTCTTTCGCCCTATACCCAGTTCCGACGATCGATTTGCACGTCAGAATCGCTACGGACCTCCATCAGGGTTTCCCCTGACTTCGTCCTGACCAGGCATAGTTCACCATCTTTCGGGTCCCAGCGTGTACGCTCTTGGTGCGCCTCTTCTCGCGATGAGAACGAGACGCCCCGGGAGTGCGAGGCGGCAGCCGTAACGACCGCCCATCCTCCCTCGGTCCGCGCAAGGCGGACCTTCACTTTCATTGCGCCTTTAGGTTTAGTAATGTCCCAATGACTCGCGCACATGCTAGACTCCTTGGTCCGTGTTTCAAGACGGGTCCTGAAAGTACCCAAAACTATAGCGTCGCAGATCGGCGTTCTAAAAGAAGACGAGGTCTGTCCGACGACCCACAGCCAACAGCCACCCGGGGACGGGACCGGCACCAGGTCCGATCACCGTCGCGACGAGAGCGCTTGCCATAGGGCGGACGCCGAACAAGCGGCGGCCTCGCGCCATCTTTATACCGTCGAGCGAGCCGACCGGGAAACACCGCGGGTTCGTTCGGAAACGGCGAACCGTCCGAACGGGCTCCACCACGGGCCTCAGACCGGCACCCAACGGATCGCGACGTCCTACAGGGGGAGAAGTGCACGCGTTCGATCGCAGTTCGGAGGACGGAAGGCGCAGACGACGCGTACGCCGTCCGTCACACGACCGCCCAGCGCCACGATCGAGACACGCTGAATCTCCCCTTTCGACCTTTCGGGTTTCTCAGGTTTACCCCTGAACGGTTTCACGTACTATTGAACTCTCTCTTCAAAGTTCTTTTCAACTTTCCCTCACGGTACTTGTTCGCTATCGGTCTCGTGGTCATATTTAGCCTTAGATGGAGTTTACCACCCACTTAGGGCTGCACTCTCAAGCAACCCGACTCTGAGGAGAGATCCTCCCGTCACCGGCAGCGGTCACTACGGGCCTGGCACCCTCTATGGGCTGTGGCCCCGTTCAAGATGGACTTGGACGCGCCGCACGATTTCGGGATGACGGACCCTCCCTAACACCACATTTCCCGGCGTCCGGTTTCGGCCGCGGGATTCGGTGCTGGGCTCTTCCCTGTTCGCTCGCCGCTACTGAGGGAATCCTAGTTAGTTTCTTTTCCTCCGCTTAATAATATGCTTAAATTCGGCGGGTAGTCTCACCTGCTCTGAGGTCGCAAGATCGAATAGATCTGGAAATGGATCATTTTAATACGCAAACGATCATGGCACGTCGTCGACGCGGCCTTTACGGTCTTTCGTCGAACAGCGACCTGACGTCGTCGCGAGATACGTCACGGACGCCTCGGACACGACGGTCGCATCGTTCGACAAAATCAACGCCGTTATGGCCGTCAAAAGTCGATCGTTTTGTGCTTTACGTCTGCTGATCCGCCCGTCGAAGGACGACGACGAACTCCTTCGAAAAGAAAGTCCGACACGTCACCCCGACGGGCCGCTATCGCGTCTCCGGATGTCGCGTACGCCGGATCGTACTCGAAACGAACGAACGTTACGTAAGTCGTCTCGACATCGACCTCCAACGGTACGCGTCTAAAAAACATCCAACTCGCTCCGACGAACGCCACGCTTTCTCAAACGAGGCGAACCGAGCAGTCTTTGAAATTGACACGACCCTCAGCCAGAAGTGGTCCGGGAACAATTTATCCGAGGACCGCAATGTGCGTTCGAAATGTCGATGTTCATGTGTCCTGCAGTTCACAAGTTGACGCGCAATTAGCTGCGTTCTTCATCGACCCACGAGCCAAGTGATCCACCGTTCAGGGTAATCTTTTAGAATATACATTAAGACGCACGTTCTCTCCGGCTCGCCTCGCGACGGCCTGGAACGTTCTGCGTCGAAATTCTCTCGGTTTCGATTGTTTATTAAGATAAAAAAAGAAAAAAAAAGAAAAGAGAAACTTTCGAACGACGTGTCGTCTTACTAATTCCATCTTTTCCTCTCTCTCTTTTTTTTTTAGTTAGTCGCAAGACTTGATCTCCTTTTCTAAAGCAGAAGCTCAACCGCACAACGATCACTTAACCAAACAAACTAGGTGTGATTTCGTCAAACGGCGCTTCCTAGGAGCGTCTCGAACGACGTTTCGAATCGTCTCGACGAGAACGGCGGCATCGAGCCGAACCCGTCGGCCGGGCAAAAATCATTTAAAACCCACGGTAACGAAGACGAGCAAAGGCGCACGAAACGCCCCGCACGTACTTACGAAACCTGCGATCCGAATCGAACTCTTTGAGGTTCTTTAGCGGATCAAGGTGCCCGAAATGCCGTCTGCCCGATCGCACGACGAACGCGCGTAAAGGACCGGCGCCGCGAGTTCGCATCGGCATGACGCCTAATCCGACTCTGGACGATTCAATAGTTCGAGGACGTCGTGTGACGCCGTCTCTTAGACGCGTTTCCTCTTTCGCATCGATCCCCACGTGGGACGAGAGAAGAGAAGAGAACGCGCTTCGGAAACGCGCGACGGCACCGCTAAAGGCTGGACGTGCCGTCGTCTACGCCGCAGACGTCTTTAGATGTTAGATCGAGCGTGTACGTCGTCCACGGACGCGACATACTTCGCACGACAACAACAACACGATCAGACGATGGTGTGTGTGTGTCTGTGTAAAGACAGTGCGTGTGTTCGAGACACGTTAATGATCCTTCCGCAGGTTCACCTACGGAAACCTTGTTACGACTTTTACTTCCTCTAAATGATCAAGTTTGGTCATCTTCCCAGCGACATCGGCGACGCCGAAACGCCACCGCGTACCGGTCCGAAGACCTCACTAAATCATTCAATCGGTAGTAGCGACGGGCGGTGTGTACAAAGGGCAGGGACGTAATCAACGCGAGCTTATGACTCGCGCTTACTGGGAATTCCTCGTTCAATTGCAAGCCCCAATCCCTAGGACGAAGGAGGTTCAGCGGGTTACCCGGGCCGCTCGGCCAGGGAGGACACGCTGATTCCTTCAGTATCTGTTTTGCATAACATCATTAAAATCTGTAATAGACTTACACCCTAAGCATATAACATAGAGAATAAAAAAATATTAGTTCTAGTATAATACATGATATGAATTTCATAAGATGGCCACTTAATAAAAAATAACATTAAAGCTCTCTCAAAAGTTGTCAATTACAACATTACAAAAAAGATCAAAAATACAAAACAAACCCTAAATGTACAATCGTGATATTAAGAATTGCACAAAAGCTACCCTATAAACTTACAAAAATATATAAAAACTCTTCGCTATCACTTTTTTAAAAAGGTAACAGGTTCCTTGCGTTCTTTTTCTAAATTGTTCCTCGTAAGGTTAAAGGCTTCGGTTTTCTCAAAATCTACTTTTTTGTAAACGGTACTCGATGATTTTGACGGAATTGTATTACTATTATTAGATAAATTCGAAGGTCCACAATGATCCAAATCTATATATTGCATTTTTACTGGCAAATAATGATATATTTGTTCTTCTTGGTTGTTTTGCGATAACAAGCTTTCATGTGAACGACCCAGACCTTGTAAAGTTGGGCTGGGAGCAGCTCTTAATTTCGGGGTGTCATCCTCCATTTTTCTACTGCCTGTTGGACTAGGGCCACATTTTGATCCGTCGAAACTCGGTGCCATAATTGGACTCGCTTTTATTTTGCGATTGTGTGCTTCCTGCAGTGGAGTAGGAGGTTTCAACTTCCTATCTACTGATGGAGCATTTCTCGGTGACGATGGCTCAGGATTTGAAGAAGACGATAAGGAATCCGACAGTTTCCTTTTAGGTTTCAAATCCCTGTTAACAACTGGAGGTGGCATCAGCTGACTATCCGCCAAAAGTGGACTCGGTAAATTTGAATAGGCTGTCGTGGAGGAACTCTGGGAGAGAGGCGAAGCTGGTTCATCGACGATGTCGTCTCCATCGTAGCGAAAAACGTGATTCGAACTTGTGGATGGCTTAGGAGAGATATCGTACCGGAAAATCTGACCTTCGATTTTGACAGGAGCGGCATTGTTGTAGCAATGCCGTCGAAGGAGCATGTTACGGACGGTTTCTGCTTCTGGAATCTGGTGGGAACGGGGAAAATCGCACATGTCGTCGGTGATGACGCCCGGGGGCGGTTGCTTTCGGTCTTCCTCTTGGTTGTTTTCGTGTTTGTGGTTGGGACTTTCAATCTGCTGCGTGTTCAAATTTATGTAAGTGGAAGAAACCACGTAGACTGTTTTTGGGGGTCTAGGTGGAGCCAAAACCTTATTATTGCATTCTTCAATTTTGTTCTTGGTAAATTTTTGTTTAACAACAACGTTTACATCAGCCATATCGTCATCCGTAAATACACTTTCTGTATCAGTTGGTGTCTGTAACGGCGAGTTGTCTTTATTTTTTTTGTTTTTGTCATTATCTTGACATGGAGAGAGTACTCTTGGACTGTCATAAAACCTAGGATCTTGCATATCGTTGACATAATTTAAGTAATTTCGTTGCGAAATTCCGTAAGTTTGTGATGTATGGTTTTGATGTCTGGTCAAAGAGGATGTCCCTGCAAAAGATAAGTAGGACAATTGATTCCATCTACGGACTAGCTATGAGACTACTCACTCGTTCTTATGCTTCGGTCTCGTATATTGCTGCTGGCGTCCTTGCTGGAATTCCACCTCTAGACCTGGAAATACACAAGCGCGGTTGTCTGCAAATACTCAAAAAACACGGCGTATCAGTCTTCATGGAAACTCACGTGCGGCTGGACGAGTTTGACAACTTCAGGCATGTCAAGGAGTATTTGCGTTGGATGGTCTTGGACATTTGGCAATGTCGGTGGGAGTCTTCTGAGCTAGACCGAATGACGTTCGCTTTCTTTCCGCTGGTTCCTGAACTACCCAGACTGGACTTCACTTGGCGGTCAACCCAGGTGTTAACCGGCCATGGAAATTTTCGATCGCACCTTTTTCGAATAGGGAAGACGGACGAAGACATCTGCAGAATGTGCGATTTGGGCGAAAGTGACAATCCTGAACACAGACTTCTTCGTTGCCTGGCTTTTTCGACGCAGCGTGACGTTTTAAGTGCCGCGTGCGGTTTTCCTTTTTCTCTTGGTGATGTCATTTCTGTGAACCTAGAAATTTCAATACTTAATATTTTTATTGGCGATCTGGTGATATTTAACTAATATGTACTAGATGTAAAATTTTTAGTTACTTATTTATGTACTGAGTTTATTGTTAGTTCTTTTCATCTGTCATTTCATTGTTATCATAGTATGGCGCTAAAAATTATGTTGATTTTGATTTTGTGTATGTTCATTTTATTGATGACTAGTATTTGCTGACTAGTGTTTTGGTTGGTGAATCAAACGAATAAGTTTATTTTATTTTATTAGTTCATTTATTTATTCGTGCAATTATAAGTTTGTTTATGTCGTGTTATCACGTGACAACCGAGTTGCAGGATACATATGATTGTTTTTACAACCCCCAATTTGGGGTTGTGTGTTGTAGAAATTGTACTGAATAAATGTGCCCCTTGATTCCTTCAGTGTAGCGCGCGTGCGGCCCAGAACATCTAAGGGCATCACAGACCTGTTATTGCTCAATCTCGTGCGGCTAGAAGCCGTCTGTCCCTCTAAGAAGAATTGTTTGTACGCCGACAGTAAAAACCGCGCACGGCCAACGGGCGAACCCGGACCGGCGGGCCTTTGGGATGTCGAAATACGCCTATTTAGCAGACTAGAGAAATTAAGCCGCAGGCTCCACTCCTGGTGGTGCCCTTCCGTCAATTCCTTTAAGTTTCAGCTTTGCAACCATACTTCCCCCGGAACCCAAAAGCTTTGGTTTCCCGGAAGCTGCCCGCCGAGTCATCGAAAGAACATCGGCGGATCGCTAGCTGGCATCGTTTATGGTTAGAACTAGGGCGGTATCTTTTCGCCTTCGAACCTCTAACTTTCGTTCTTGATCAATGAAAGCGTTTTTGGCAAATGCTTTCGCTTCTGTCCGTCTTGCGACGATCCAAGAATTTCACCTCTAACGTCGCAATACGAATGCCCCCATCCGTTCCTATTAATCATTACCTCGGGGTTCCGAAAACCAACAAAATAGAACCGAGGTCCTATTCCATTATTCCATGCACACAGTATTCAGGCGAAGTTTTAGCCTGCTTTAAGCACTCTAATTTGTTCAAAGTAAACGTGCCGGCCCACCTCGACACTCAATGAAGAGCACCGCGGCGGGATTGAGTTCGGCCGCCCTCTCGAGCTAAGCCCACCGGCAGGACGTCCCGCGGCACGCCAGTTAACACCGCGAACGATGAACCGGCGGCGCGGGACACAGATTCGACTACGAGCTTTTTAACCGCAACAACTTTAATATACGCTATTGGAGCTGGAATTACCGTGGCTGCTGGCACCAGACTTGCCCTCCAATTGATCCTCGTTAAAGGGTTTAGAGTGTACTCATTCCGATTACGGGGCCTCGGATGAGTCCCGTATCGTTAGTTTTCGTCACTACCTCCCCGTGCCGGGAGTGGGTAATTTGTGCGCCTGCTGCCTTCCTTGGATGTGGTAGCCGTTTCTCAGGCTCCCTCTCCGGAATCGAACCCTGATTCCCCGTTACCCGTTACAACCATGGTAGGCGCAGAACCTACCATCGACAGTTGATAAGGCAGACATTTGAAAGATGCGTCGCCGGTGCGAGACCGTGCGATCAGCGTAAAGTTATTCAGAGTCACCAAGTTGTACGATGACGGAGACCGCCACCGATTGGTTTTGATCTAATAGAAGCGCCCCTTCCGTTTCCGGTCGGGGCTCTGTTTGCATGTATTAGCTCTAGAATTACCACAGTTATCCAAGTAAATGTGGGTACGATCTAAGGAACCATAACCGATTTAATGAGCCTTTCGCGGTTTCACCTTAATTCGGCTTGTACTGAGACATGCATGGCTTAATCTTTGAGACAAGCATATGACTACTGGCAGGATCAACCAGGGAACTGTGTTCTCGTTCGGATACTCCGAAACTGAAAACTACACTTTCGTCGAAAGCGCGAGTGCGTATTCGCGAAACGAACGCGTAGGAACGTAACGCCACGCTTAACTCTCTCTTTCGTTGTTTTATATATGAAAAATATCATACATAACGATACCGGTCGAAAAGTTTCGCGAGGAAACCTCCTGCGCCGGTTTAAAAGTTCAAACATTCTCCTCACTCTTCGCTAGATAGAATGCGACGGTGAGACGTGCCGAATTCTTTTCAGAATCTGCACACGTCACGAGTATATTATATATTCTCGCTCGGAATGTAGGGAGTTGACGCAAATTTTATAGCTGTTCGATGAAATTCGAACGTACGCCACCGTTTACAGCAACGTAAGGTTGATCGCATAAGGACCGCCGACGATGGAACGTCCGCCGCATCCGCGATCTCGCTGTGCTGGACCGTCTTTAGAGGCAAGCTCGAACCCAATGAAGGAACTCAAGGATTCCATGAACTTCTAGGCGCAAACGCTCCGAGAGCCAAGTCTACTTCGGGTCATTTTCGACGGTGCGATAACTACATTCTCAAAATTATCAACAAGACACACACACATACAAGGTTCGCTCTTATAATCATTAAAGACATGACCACCAAAAGTAATCGCAACGTTTCGTTCTAAAAAGGTGAACGTATCGTCGTCTCTTTTTGTCGGGTCGGTCTGAATAACATAATAATGTCGTTGTTGAACATTATTTATTACAGAGAGAAACCAATGCGACTAGCGTCTGCCATCATTTTTAGAGAATACGTAAAAACGCACAGTCTTAGAGACACCGAAGAACGGCCGGAACGTGCTGCGAAATTCATTTCGTCATAAATCCGAATTCCTTATAAAAGTATTGGATAAGACTCGCAGACAGTCCGTGGTAACGCGAGCGAGAAGATGCAGTCGTTGGTCGGTATCTCGAGAGAACACCTCACACGCCACAACATCACTCCGCTACCTATAATAGCGCGCTTGACGTCGATCGGAGCCAAACGCTGCGAAGCGGCGACAGTGGTACGCGAGCAGGGGCGCGAGACACACCTCTCCCCGTCCGAGGTGCGCGCTGTCGGTGTGATGGCTCTTCGTAAAGAGCGGTTTGAACATTTTTCCACGGATTTTCGCAAGAAAAAAAATACGGCCGCATTGTGTTACGTAATCGAGGTATACTCAGGATCACGAAGCAATGCGTACACGTCATGGATGACGTAGATCCGTTACCAACACTAAATCAAAAATACGCGCCGCAATACGTGGCAATACGGATCAAAATCGATCAATTTGGGGAAAATTATATTGGTACGATTGATAGCGAAACATATGCTAAGTTTTATCGGTTTCGCAAGTGTCATTGGTGTCAGTTTAAGTTGTGTTATTGTTTGATTTTTCGCGTTTTTCTATTTTTCTGCTCGTGTAATCGTATCAGTTCTTTTCAGAACTAAAACAGTTCTTCTCAGAACTCCAACTTAACTGTCGTGTACCGTGGTACGTGTCGCTTGCTTGAACGTAAACATTCCATCATGCCGAAGCCCTTGCACAAAGATGCAAAGCAAATGGTCGCTAATTTAGTGGACTATTTTGCTAAAGAACGCGATAACGGGGGACCTCTTTTACCACTAACAGCTGTTCAAGACGTAAGTAGGTGTATTTTAGGTATTATAGTTACAAATGCAGTTACATTGTGCAGAGGGTTGCTGCTGCTCTCGGTGTATGTGTGAGAACAGTGAACTCCGTGGTACAGCAAATAAAAATCGGAGAAGGTGTACATTCTCCCAAGAAAAAGAGACCCCGAAAAAAGCCGGTGTGTGATATTAGCACTTCGGAGCAGTGTGCTATTCGAGAATGTTTATATGGAATGGTCGAAAAAAGTATGAATTTGATGCGCACGCCTTATAGATACTAACGATTATTTTACAGAAATACATGTTACACGATCGTCATTACTTGACTGCTTGAAGGAGAAACATATATTTGAGGGTTCTGTGAGCTCATTGGGAAGAATTTTACATTCTATTGGGTTTCGTTATTCTCCAACAAATGTACGGAAGCGTCTTATGGAATTACAACATGTTGTTCATGCAAGAACCAAATTCTTACGTGAATACGTGCACAATCAGCAGAATCCAAATCCTTTGCAATGTGTCTATCTTGATGAAACATGGATATTTGAAAATGGTTCGGTAGTTAGGTCATGGCAAGATGATAGTGTCAAAAGTATCAGGACGTTCAAAATAGAAGGGAAAAGGTAATAATGTGTCAGTTTCATGTTAGTTATTTATTCGTCTCATTATATTTTAGGTATATTGTATTACATGCAGGTACAAGCAATGGATTTATTGATGAAGCAGCGCTGGTATTTTCTTCTAATACCAAAAATCCAGACTATCATGGCGAAATGAATCAACAGAATTTTCTCAAGTGGTTTGAAAATCAATTGCTTATGAAGCTCGAGGAACCATCACTGATTATTATGGACAATGCTAGCTACC